TTTACCACACCTTGAGAATGCCACAGTTACAGTCATTATTTTAACTAAGCTGTAAAATATAATCCACTCGATAATAAAATCTGTTATTTTAGGCAAGCCACTTGATATCTTAGTTTATTTTTTTACATAAACTGATGATAATCACAGGTTGACTTAAAGTTTAAATGAAATGATATTTGTATAAAACAATTACAAATCAGTCTATAAGTAAATGGAAAAACATTGGCTATCATATTCTCTTTAACTTAAATAGAATGAGAGAGAAAATTTACCCACAAATACTTGCTTTCTTGATGTCATCCAAAAAGAGGACATATGTAAGGTATAACACACCATTATCATCTGTATAACCCTTCTGATTTTATGAAGGTCAAACTGATTAAGCAAGAAACAGTGACTTTTAGACAGTGATTTCAAATTTCTGATTTCCTTCTACACCTTAATTAAGAAGGAGGAAAAGGAGCAACTTGGTAGAAATTTTACCGTTTCTTTGACTTGATGCTGTCTTTAAAAAACACTTTGAAATTCTCATGAATCTAATAAGTACAGGAACTCAAACACTAGCCTCTTGTCTATGAGCTTTGGTAAGAAATGGGAGCCTGTGTTCAGGAAGCGCACAGCAAAGCTTCCATATGCAGTGAAGGAATGTTAATATAGCGAGCATCTTCTCATCATCCCTCAACATCACTCTCAATAGCCACTGAATAAAGGTTGAACTGACCCTACCTAGAAGTATTTCTGGAAAATCAATATAAGCACATTTCCCTTACTGCGTGGATCACTCTGATAGACCGGCTTTTTTTCCAAAATTTTGGGGACAAGACAGTTTGGGGTACAGAAGTGAGATTTTGAACTCCTGTAGCCACTTAGCCATCATAATGGATTCTAGACTAATAAAAAAGCTGATTCACAAAAGTAGGCAGATACACAGTAGTACAGAAAAATGGAGCTAGATCCCAGCTTAAGTCACACAGTAAAATCACCCCAAATCTAGGCTTCTAAGTGTTGTGAGTAAATAAATAACCTTTATTATTAAGCCAGTGAGAATTAGAACATTTTATACTTACAGCCAAAATAATAACATAGTAAATATATGTTAGAGGTTACCTGGAATAGCCTTATTTAAATCTGTTATCCTGGTGTGATTATTATTATGAGTGCCACAATTTCTATCCCAGTTGGCATCGTAAAAGACTCAGCAGAGTGGATCTATAAAATTTTTCTAGCATCGAGGCATGTGATATAGAAACGTTAATGATTTGACAACATGGTATTTTTGCCTTAAGGTAATGGTAAAAAATAATCTTATTTTTGTTCTATACAATGGGATATGACATATTAAAATGAAGGCTCAATTATGGAAAAAAATAAGTAATAATCTTACCTATTATGAAACAATAAATGGCCAAGTGTATAAACACAGAATATCCTCAAAGCCTTATTACATCCAATTAGTAATGAATATAATTGCATACACACACAATTACACACCTCACTATCGTGAAACATGTTTAAGCAATACTGTAATATTTTTATTCTGTTCAATTGTACATTAAAGAGGCGAAAACCAGAATGTGGAAGAAAAAAATTAGGAGTAACTCATATTACAAAAGCAGCATTCACCTTAAAGATTCACTATTGATTTTTTAAAATATACAGTCAACTCTCTTATTTGTTTTTTTTTTTTTTTAGGTTTGGGTTAAAATTTATTTATTTAAACATTATCTTAACTTTTAAAATGTATGTTCTTTTTTAAATTATACTTTAAGTTCTGGAGTACATGCGCAGAATGTGTAGGTTTGTTACAAAGGTATACACGTGCCATGGTGATATGCAGCACTCATCAATCCATCATATATATTAGATATTTCTCCTAATATTATCCCTATCATAGCCTCCCACCCTCCGACAAGCCTCGGTGTGTAATATTCCCCTCCCTGTGTCCATGTATTCTCACTGTTCTACTCCCACTTCTGAGTGGGAACATGTGGTATTTGATTTTCTGTTCTTGTGTTAGCTTGCTGAAAATGATGGTTTCCAGCTTCATCCATGTCCCTGCAAAGGATACGAATGCAACCCTTTTAATGGTTGCATAGGATTCCATGGTATCTATGTGCCACATTTTCTTTATCCAGCCTATCATTGATGGGCATTTGGGTTGGTTCCAAGTCTTTGTTATTGTGAACAGAGCCGCAGTAAACATATGTGTGCATGTATCTTTATAGCAGAATTTGAATTAAAACTACCATTCAATATAGAAAGTTCACATGAAATATTAGTTACTCTAAAATCTTTTAAGCAGAATAATACATTTACACCTAATAATACTGTTGTGGCAAAAACTGGCTAATGTGATTTAGCACAAATTCACCTTATATATGCTTTAAACAAAAAAGTTTAAGGAAAATATTTTCAATAAATAATTTCATCTGTTTTGGAGACTCAGCACCTGTCAATTTTCTATCTGTATTGGACATATAATTTACAACATTCAGAGCAGAATTTACAAGGAATTTAAAATATGGAAAGTAGTTATTTATTACTTTGTGAGCATATAACATTCAGATAAAGTACAGACATTTTGATAGGAAGATGTTTAAAATTTACCAATCAAAGTAGCAACAAATTGATAACCAAACCAAATTTACTAATAGAAAAAAATGCAAATAAGCCCATCAGTTTATGCATTTAATAAATATTTAAAAGATACTTAAAATTCTCTTTTTAAGCTCTGAATTGACCAAAATAAATGAATTTAAAAAATGAGAAAATAGAAACATATTTACTTTAGTCTAGTACTATATATAGATTTATATATAAATGCTAAAAATAAGTCTTTACTGTTTCCTGTTACATTCTGCATTTTAGGTTCAAAAGTGAATGCATATCATACATATGTAATGAACCTAATCAAAAGCAAGAAAAATACTAAATTAGGTCACTTCTACACAAATCATGTCCTTCTATCTTATGTGATTAAATAATGTCAATAAGTGATAAGTGCTTCCAATTCCATACACAATATTTGAAATTTAGAAGTTATATTTGTAGCAAGATCTTTGGTTTCAGCAGTAATTCCACATAAGTCTACTAGATATAAATAAAGGGCAATTATCCTGGGACATGATTGCCCCTCATAGGCTAACTTTAAACAAAATATGCTCATGAATGTCCTATCCATTCAGCTCTCCTAGGAAAATTACCTCCCGCACACCACTCTCCCGACCTGTAACAATTCTTGTGAATATTAAAGTGATGTAAATATATGAAGAATACAAACATTCAGTTTTTAAAGAAATTAAAACCATAAATTAATAATAGAGTTTGGATAGTTTGTGGGAAGTTAGGTTGTTTAAATTTCTCAAAGCAAAGACATTTTTAATACTAATGACAATATCCAATTGTGCTACTATTGCATCTCAGCGCACATTATTTTTATTATCTAGCTGATCTATAAAAAAAGTGAATAAACTTAAACATGAAGATTTTAAGTATCCTTTATTCTAGAATTGGCTTGACTATAACAATCAGCATAATTCTTCAGCAACAGCTAGCTTTGTGACAACAGCTTTAAAATCGATCTGAAAATCAAGGGACAGTGGGACTAAAAGAGGATTTGAAATAGAGAATGGAATCGATTTAAGCAGACATATGCTTTTATTCAAAACAGGGACTGAACTGACTTCATGAGGTTCACCAGAAGTTCTATTAGCAAGGTGCGATTATTCTCCAACACCCCATTATCATCACTTCCTTCAACATTATTCAGAAATACCTACTCCCTTGTCCTCTGATTGCAGGGCCAACTCTGAGGAGATATCTGTCAGACTGGACATTGTCAGATGCCACAAGAAGATCTGAGTGTCCTTCTTAATGGCATCCGCACTGTTTATATAAGTGTAATCCCCTACCCAGCAAAGGGACCAGCTGCATTCATGACCTTCGAGCAAATGAACAAACACGTTGGAACACCATTTCCTTGACAATTCTTGCCCATGAAATCTAGATTTCTAGTTGAAAACTCTCCACTATGTTCCTTATAAATCCATCCATCCCTCTAAAAGAAATGTACCACTATCTCAAGAAAGAAAGCAAAGATATGAACAAACATCTGATGTGGCACAGAGGAGAAAATTAATTGGAAAAAATGTACAAATTATACTTATTTAATTGCAGCAACAGTAATAATACTAATTATATGACAAATGTCTTTTACTTCTATTCTCAAGAGTAAATATGGCTTTTTAAAGAAACATATGCATAATGCATATCATAAGACTTAAAATACAAAACTATTTAATATACATGATTTAAACTTACAGATCTATTGCTGTACAACCACATAAACCATTAAATGATTTATTTTATAGCAGCTATTATACTTCAATGTTTAATCACAGTGTAATAATCTTGTTAAAAGTAAACCAATGCAATTTCAAGTTTCTGAGGGAGAAGGAAAATATCAGTTTTAAAAAGAACTGATATCACTCTTACTGGTCAATTAATAAGAAACTTATTTGTAATTTCTGCTCAATTAAAATAATTATAAAGAGATGATGAAAAAATATAAGAAACACCAGAATAATACATTACACCTTGAAAAACATACTTCTACTCTTTCTAAATCATGGTAATAGAAATGGTTTGCCAGATAAAATTATCTTTAACATGTCAGAGAATATGCAGAAGTGGGAATATAGACATTTTTGCAGTTTAGTGATTATTAGGAAGATGAGTGAAAACAGCACAAAAGCACTGGAATGACTACATGGAAACTTACTAAGTGCAAAGACAGAAAGTAGTCCCATTATGCACGGAAGGCATCCACGTCCACACTTGCTCATATTGAAGAATCAGATATGAGTATTATATCACCTAAACAAATTCTCTTGCTCTAAGATGGTTCATTTTATCAACCTTAATTACGTGAAAGAAAAATAGAGTTGATGGTAAGAAAAGTTTTAAAATTCAGAGTAAATAAAAATATACGTTTCGCTTACCTTTTAAATGTTCTTTCTCCTCTTTTCTATGCCAGTCCAGATGCATGGATATAGTTCTTCCCTGCCAGTAGATGGAGATAGTAAAATTGAGTCTTTTGGTGACCTCAAATCTTAATCTAGGTGGTTCAGAATCTTCAATTTTGGATTTTTGAAGTTAAAATTTTTTTTGAATGACTGGAAAGACACATAAGCTTGTAAAAATGACTATCTGAGTCATTCAAATGAACTTTTATTCATGTACTACTAATCGTTAAGGGAGCGGGTCTTGGCTGGCATAGAAAATAAAATAAAAGAAAGAGCATTATTTGGTAGGATTTACCCCCTTGACTCTTCGTTCTTCCCAGATCTTGCTCATTAACTGAACTAACAGCTATTGAGTATGTACTCAAAATTGCAGGTTACTAGCCAGATACTTTTCATATACATTAGCTTTTAACGCTTTTAATGACCTTGCAAAGTAGCAATTATTCCTCCTTAACATCTTGTCCCAGAAACCATATATTTAAAAGTTCTATACGGTGAGGTGACACTTGCTTGCCAAGGTTTTGCAGTTCTCCTGATGGTGAGTTAAAGACTTCTCATTTAGTTTCTTCTTGCTATTGATAAAGGGCCCTTGAAATTAGAAACTCAATTGCTAGTGTAAAAATCGGTTTTGTTTTCTTTTGTTTCAAATTAATACAAGTCCTCCAACAGCTTTCCAGGAAGAAATTTTAAAAGTAAAAGTGCAAGCATTTTATAGAAATAAAGTAAATCATCTGGAATCAAACAGATTTCATGGATAGAGCCACCTAAAAGTGTTTGAAAATGGCACACTTGAGATCAAATTCATAGGGAAAAATATTAAAATTTGTGATTGCTGATAATTACAGAAACAATAAAATTATTTTCATTTTCAAAGCTAACAGAAAGGCATGAAGTACTGCTTGAAGATGATGAAGAGAATAAACTGAAGAACACTCAAAATTGCATTGAAAATTGATGAAACCATAAAATAATTCTTCCATTTTCTCAGTTTAGCAAACCCATTGAATTTTAATTCAATGAAATCTATCTCTTATAACAAGCAAAGTCCAAGTTTTAATATTGTTTGTAATCATAGTCTGTGAGTTGATTTCAAGACAACATACTTTGAAAGAATGGACATTATACAACTAATCAAAAAAGATTTATGCAAATTTAAGAGTGACATTATAAAAATAAAACTATTCTCTTTTATGGAGTCACCTTAATCACTTTGCTCAAATGAATACAAACGTATTTCTATAGCTCTCTCTTTTTTTTCTTTTTTTTTTTTTTTTTTTTTTTTGAGACGGAGTCTCACTCTGTCACCCACGCTGGACTGTTGTGGCTCTTTTATTCTTTTGAGAATAAAGGAGAGTGATGTTATTAATTATGTCAAGGTAACAGACATAAATGGTGAAATATCCTCAGAAAATTGGACACTATATTTTTCCTAATGACAACATTAACCTTCAATCCGAATCTTTTGAGTCTAAATACTCTTTTCTTTCTACTATATTTCTCTATTCCAGAAAATTTTTCCATCTGATGTTCGTGTGATTAATTCACAAGTGTATATTTTCCTATTGCCTCTTTATTCAGCTCAGCCCATTGAGTGCAACGTTTTGTTTTCATATACTTGCCAACGGCTGTTATATTTACAGTACTTTATCTCAAGATAGGTAAAACAACAAAAACAGTAACAATCCTAATAACTTTAAATAATAACTAATGTGATCCAAATAACTGTTTTACTGCTTTTTTAATGGGTTACTATGGGGTCGTTCTAATATTAACAATGAAGTAGGAGACAACTTTATCAATTATTACTGATTTGCTGGATTCTGGCTTCATTCTACTCCTTGAATTAGTATGGTTGACTGCTTCTTGAATTCTACTTCAAATTATAAATATACTTCCAGAATTTGATACTCATTAAAAAGTGGCAAATTCCATATTAATTTAGAGAAGACAAGAGATCATTTCAAATGTTTTTACTGATTAGGGCTAAAATATGAAAAAATGAATCTTCATTAAAGTAAACATTTCATATCCCTCACAATGAACTCAAGTCATATATATATATATATATATATATTCATTTAATTATTTGATTATTTAATTTTTTAAAGTATCTGTGCATAATTTAATTAACAAAATTACATTTTTTTTTTTTTGCCAGAGTTTCTGCTTCATTGTTTCTTGTTTTTGTTATTGTTTTGGTTTAGTCTTTTTTCCCCACTATTATAGCTCCTAAAGTATAGCACAGTGCCTCACACATAATAGGCACTCAATAAATACTTGCTGACTGGCTAAACAGTCTAAGAAAAAAGTTTATATTTCACCTGCAAACATATTTACAAATAAAATTTGGTAGATAAAAAGGATGTCATTGCTTACTGAAGGTCACTGCGTTAAGAATTAACTGAGATTCCCCATATTCTACAAAAAGACACCAGTAACTGATTACTATGTCATAAAATCTGTTTCTATGTAACAGAGTTATATTAAGTTCATACTCGGAATTAATTCATCAGGATGTATGATATCTCTGAAATAAAAGAAGCAACTTCAAATATTCTTCAAAAAAATCATTATCTTCATGAAGAAATTATTTTTTCCTTTCTGAAGCCAAAAGTCAAATACTGTTTTAAAAATAAAATGCTAGACTTGGGAAAAAAGTATCTACTAATCAATAACAAATTTGAGATTTTTCTCTTCACAATTCCCTTCCTCACCACAATTCCAAGATGAAAACTTGTTTTAGGCAGCCTTATTTTTCTGGGCTGGGTGTGGGGTTTGAAAGGTAATGTTTAGAACTGATGATACGTGTTGTGGTATGGCAGTACAATATAGTGGCACCATTATGACAAAGAGCGTGCCAGTAAGGATGACCTAGACAGAAGGATATAATGATGAAGAAAGTTTCTGAGACAAAAACAAACTTTAACATGATTTGCTAAATAATGTCTGTAATTCACTGTTCCTTTATAATTGCTCCAATTATAAAACTAGCCTTGAAAATTCCTCAAGTATGCTAAACTTCTAAACCAGCTATTTAAAAACCAAAGCTGTGTTTGATCCTTTTAAACCAATGGCTTGACAAAGTTTTAAGAATCTGATGAAAGATATGGATGGTCAAATCAGAAAATTATATATCTATATCATCTAAAATTATATATACTCTCAGAGTTCATACAATAGAATATAATTTCAAAATATTCACCAGGCCCATAGAAGCCATCTATGAACCACTTTATCTATGAAATCAAGGTTAAAGGGACACTTTCTCCAAAAATAACTTTTCCATTATGAAGCAAAACAACTGATAAGGTTTTCATTTTAGGATTAGAAGATACATGTGTGCATGCACAAACATACACACACACATACACACACACACACACACACACACACACACGCAGATACATACACAGCAGAGTGGTCCAGCATAAACATAGGGAAAACATTTCATATACTTCTAATGCAACTCTATCAAAGTAGCTGATACACTCAGGAAAAATGCATCTCCAACATATAATTTGGAGGAGTCTAGTAATTATTTAATTAATTTTTTAAAATGTTAAATTTTCTGGAGAAATTTAAAAAAACTTTTTATCAGAAAACGTATATCAAAGAGAATACAATAGATAACTCAATTGCACATCCTTAAGAGGATGAATTTACTATAATAGTTTTTAAATGCAAATGTCAAAAGCTGTTAACAATTTCGGGGCACCTAGAGTAAGCTAGAAACTGTTACCCACTCATGTGAACACTGTAAAAGACACTACTACTACCACTCTACCCATTAGAAAACTTCTAACTAGATTAAGAAATCATGAACAAAGAAAAAAACGTAATAAAAATCGAGAACCCCACCAGGGAGAAAGGTCCAAACTGCAGGCATAGATTGATGTCAAAGCTGCTTCCTTCTCTGGCAACTGTCAACAGTACCCTTGGGGTGAGTTGTAGCAGGAGTTCATATATTTTAAAATGAGCAGTGCTTCTCTTGAGCCGTGTATGTAGGCCGGGTAGCATAAAACAGATTTAACTTGATCCTAGTTCTTTTTTGACTAAATTGACAGTACTTCATTTAACAAAACACCATAAAGTTTTCCTCTACTCATTTTCTTTTAAACAGCAAAAAAAAGTCCATTTGATCAGACAGAAAAGTAGTAGCAAACACGAGGATTGCATGTGTTGTATTTTTTGGTTCCTAAGGAATTGTTATAATGACATAATTAAATCTTTCACCAGACTTACTTTATTTTAATGAGCATATCTCTCACTTCTACACAGTTTCTCTCTCTCTCTCTCTCTCTCTCTCTCTCTCTCTCTCTCTCTCTCTCTGTGTGTGTGTGTGTGTGTGTGTGTCTGTGTGTGTGTGTGTCTGTGTGTGTGTTTAAGGTCTATCCTCTTAGCCAATTTCATTACATTATTGTAACTATTGTCTCCACGTGGTACATTAGGTCTCATTTCATCCTCACACTTTGTACCCTTTGACCAATAGCATCAGACTTTCTATTTCATAAAGGACATTAAAGAAAGTTTAAAGGAACCAGTACTATCTATATTTAAGTATTAAATGGGTAATCTAATATTTTGCTTAATATTAACTAAAACAGTTTTTCCTTGACAGCAGTATAGTACATAGGTTATCTTGTTTAATCCATTAGTGAGTCCAGTACAGTAAATGTATGGTAAAATGGTATACAGTGAGCGCATCTCTAACCTTCCTTAGACTCAGGCTCATATAATGTTCTGGAATCATCATCACTTCTGTTGCTGCTATGGAGTGGTGTAAATGGGATGGAGAAGATACTTAATAACTGGGATCACTTTATTTTTCACTTACTCCTTTCCAAAAAAAGTATAATATAACAATGGAGTACATTATAAAATGTGCAGTATAATAAAAGTCCTTACAAAAAAGTTAAATTATATGTTTTTTAATATTTCCTTTTAAATCATTAATCAAAATAAAATACATTAACAAGCATATTAAGCTAAAACTTTTAATAAAGCATGTATGGACCATATTCTAAGTAGATCTAGATT